GGGTAGGGTTCCGGGTTTGTGTAAATATGTAGGGAGATGAAGTTTTTTTTTGGGTGTTGGATTGTAGAGGAGAGTAAGGGGAGTATTTTGGTGGTGGTTTGGGTGGATTTGGGTGAGTATTGAGGGTGTAATTGAAGAAATAAGGTTTGGGAATGGAGGGTTTTTAGAGAGGAGGTTTGAATTTGGGGAGGAATTTGGGGAAGATGACTGATTTTGGGTGTTCGGATTGGGTTCAAAACTTGTGTACCCGACCGGGTAGCCCGACATACCCGATCGAGTATGGTCGTTTTTGCTCTTGTTCCGGGGTCGGGCCCGATCGAGTAGGGGTGTTACGCGATCGGGTAAAATGCGCCGTGGAAATTTCCAGCCTTTAAAATTAATTCACCCGACCGGGTATATGGGTGTACCCGATCGGGTATTTCGCCGTTTTTTCAAAAAATGCTCCAGGGGTGGCGTACCCGGTCGAGTATTGGGTGTACTCGATCGGGTAATTTGTGACGAACTAAATTCCAGCCATTTTCTTAAAATATACCCGACCGGGTTCAAGGTATACCCGATCGGGTATCTGTTGATTTTTAAACCTGCCCTCGATCGGGTATCGGGTACGTGACCCAAGAAATGCTTTAATAAGAGGTACCCGACCGGGTGGGGTGTCGTTACCCGACCGGGTACTTCACCCTGGAGTTTGATTTCGTTCATTTTTTGCATGGATCAGACCGGGTAAGTGATTATGCCCGATCGGAGGTTTTCCCAGGCTTTGAAAACATGATTTTCCCTTATCTTCTTTTGAGAATTTTCCTCCCGTTCTCTCAAAGTTGACATTCGAAAACAAGAATTTGAAAAGAAAAATTAAAAAATGCGTACCTTGGCTTGGGTTGCCTCCCAAGAAGCGCCTTAGTTAACGTCGCGGCACGACGTTTTTATTTTATTTTTTTTTTCATTTTAAGTGGGATCATGAACATCCCTTTTCTCCTGCTTCAAGGCCCTGTTTGGCCGTGTTTCAATTTTATTTTTCGACCTTTTCCAGTAAGGTCGAACTTTCGCTCTCATTACCCCCTCAACCGCAGGTGGTATTGGTTGATAAGTTAACAACTCCCTTTCAACCGCAGATGATTCCCCATGCTTAGTTCCCTCGTCTTCTTGAAAAATTGGGATTTTAATAGACTCCTTCAAAAACTTTGGTTCTTGTGAAAAAATATTTAAAGAGCAAAGAGATTGATCTTTAATTTGTTTTTTCGTAGAGTCAAAGATATTGAACTCTACTTTTTGGTCATCGAACTCTAAAGTTAATGAACCACTAGACACGTCAATTTTAGTTTTTGCGGTTTTTAAGAAGGGTCTACCCAAAAGAATGGGTGTTGCTTGATCAGTATCGCCCATTTCAAGGACATAGAAGTCGACAGGGAAAACCATATTTTCTACTTCTACTAACACATCTTCTATTACACCCTTCGGGTAAGTAGTAGAACGATCCGCTAGTTGAATCACTACATTGGTTTGATGTAATGGACCGAGTTGTAGGGACTTATAAACAGAGTAAGGAATGACATTTATAGATGCCCCTAAATCCAACAAGGCTTTAGAAAATGTGGTGCTTCCTATCTTGCAAGGGATAGTGAACATGCCCGGGTCGCTACATTTTTCGGGAAGTTTCTTTTGAAATAGAGCCGATACATGTTCACTAACCTTGACTTCTTGTTTTTCTTTCAATTTATTTTTTGTTTTTGTTTTGCATAATTCTTTTAAAAATTTAGCAAAACGGGGAACACTTTTAATTGAATTAAGCAGCGGAATGTTTACCTCACACTTGGCGAAAGTCTCATAGATGTCAGCGTCTTTGTCAAGATTCCTTGTCTCCCTCAATGCCTCGGGGAATGGGGCCACTAGTTCATATGATGAAGGTGGAGGAAGTTTTGCCTTTGTGATTCCCTTCTCAGAGTGAGTTTCCTCTTCATGATCAACCTCCTCAATCTCTTGATCGTTATTTTCCACCTCCTTCAACATGATTGCATTCACATGTTGTCTCGGGTTTTGCTCCGTTTGAGAAGGGAGTTTTGATGATTCTTTTGCTTCTAGCCTGCTCACGGCTCCGGCTATTTGACCAACTTGATTTTCCAGATTGGAAATGCTAGATTTGGTCTCATTCTGAAATTGTACCATGTTTTGTTGCATGGTAGATACGCTAGAAGCAAGATTTCGAATCATGTCCTCCGTGGACATGCTAGAGTTTTGACCTTGATGGTTTGGGAAGGATTGTTGGAATGATTGATTTTGTTGTTGTTGAGGGTTCCCGTATCTTAAATTGGGATGATCCCTCCATCTGGGGTTGTAAGTGTTAGAGTGTGGATCGTACCTCTTTTGTTGATGAGATTGGAAACCCAGGGCATTGACTTGTTCTTCTTGGAGAGTAGGGCAAGAATCGGTTGGATGCCCTTGTTGTGTGCATATGCCGCAGACCTTGGCTTATTGGGTTTTGGAATTTAAGAGAAAATCCTTAACCAAAGAAGTCAAGTCGGCAACTTGACTTTCCAATGATGAAGATGATTCCGCCGCGGCAACTTTACGGGTTGAGGATCTCCCGTTGTAATGCCTAGAGTTCTCGGCCAACTCCGAGAGGAGATTTCTTGCTTGAGAAGGGGTTTTGTTCACAATGCCCCCTCCGCATGCCGCATTCACCATTCGCCTATCGTGTTCCGCAAGACCATCATAGAAGTAGAGGATGAGGTCTTGCTCTGTATACCCATGGTATGGGCAACTGGCGCACAGTTTTTTGAAGCGCTCCCAATATTCGTAAAGTGATTCATCATCACCTTGTTCAATGTTGCTGATTTGCTTCTTTAAAGATGATGAAATGGAAGCGGGATAATACCTTTCCAAGAAGCATTTTTTCATGGCCGCCCATGTGTCTATACTTCCCAAAGGAAGATAGAAAAGCCAATCCTTTGCGGTATCCTTCAAGGAGAATGGAAAAGCTCTGAGCTTGATTTGCTCCTCCGTGACTCCGTTGGGGCACATGCTCGTGCATACAATATGGAACTCCGATAGATGTTTGTTCGGATCTTCCCCCCTTAAGCCATGGAAGGATGGCAAAAGATGAATGAGCCCTGATTTGAGCTCAAATGTATTACCTTCGTTGAGTGTAGGGAAGGTAATACATAGCGGTTGTTGATTCAAGTTTGGAGCTGTGAGCTCCCTCAAGGTTCTTGTTTCTTGAGCCATAGATATTGGCTCTTCGGTGTCGCTAGAATGAGAACTAGCACTTGATGATTCTCCCGAGTCGGAGCTTGAGAATTTGTTTTTCAACCGCTCGAGAGTTTGTTCTATTTCGGGGTTTGATTTGTAGGTGATTTCGTTCAGTGAACGATATTTAACCATATACTTCACAAAGCTCAGAAATAGAAAAAGAAGAATTCTTTATATTTTATTTAAATTTTTTTTTTTGTTTTTCTTGAAAAAAAATAAAAAGAAAAATAATTGCCTTTCCCCGGCAACGGCGCCAAATTTGACGTGCACTTTGTCGTGGTATGCACTCAAAGTAATAATACAATACAACACTGATACGTAGTATAGCGAAGTAAGGTTCGTATCCACAGGGAAAGGAATACTTCTCTTTTTATATAACTAGTAACAAGGGGGGTTTTAGATTTGATTTGATTTATGGACTTAAATTATATTTAAGCACGAAGATGAACGAGTTATGTGGTTTAATTAATGAGAAGGAGACTTGGTTTTGCTTTTATCCACTTAATGAAATGTTCGTCGATCCCGGTTATATCTTTAACTATCTTCCTCTCGAATACTCAATCGAGGAGTATATCCAATTCATCGAGTGTAGTTATTAATAACGAGACGCGTTCATTAATAAAACTTACTACCGAGTTAATATAGAACACGCGCCGTATATTCACTCGATAGTAGCAATAAAATCAAGATGAAAACGATTGAGATTGATAACCTCAACACAAGCGGTTTATTGGTTTTATCAATATAATTAATTCCCCTTGGTTTATTAACCATGAAACGCATGCATTAATAACCCAAGTTTACTACCGTGAAAGGACCGAATTAATAACAAGCGTATTAATCGACCGATTCTAGTAATAATTAATATATGAAACAAAACTAGTTGATCCTTTAAGTAATGTTCAAAATATTAATATGAAATATGAATAGGAATTAATTAATACTCAAGGAGAAATATTAAAGAAGATGAATCCTACTATAGTTAATATCAAGATGTTAACTAATTGTCATCTTAGTAACACTCCCCAATATTAACATAGAGGAAGAAATAGCTATTACTATAACTAATGTCAAGATGTTAACTAATTGTCATCTTAGTAACACTCTCCAACATTGATATAGAAATAGTATTTAAAGGAAGAATTAATATTCAAGGAAGAAGATTAAAGAGAATAACTCACAACTTACAAATTCATTAAGCTTCAAAGTAGCAAAACCAAGATGGAAGAGTTTAGCTCCTCATTTGGAGACTAAACATGATGGAAAATATAAAGAAAACACTAATCTAAACTGGGCTAAAGAGTATATGTGAATTGGTGATTTTATTGTGAAGGAAAGGGGTGTATTTATAGGCTTTTGGGAGCTGCAGGGTCTGATACCCGACCGGGTATATAGGATACCCGACCGGGTATCTCAGGAAATTGCCCAGAAAGTGATTTTTCTGGGCATACCCGATCGGGTAAGGGTATATACCCGATCGGGTATGTGACAAATCTTTATGAAAATTTGCTCCCACGATCATTTGTCTTCGGATTTGATTTGGACAGTCGAATCAAGCAATTACCCGATCGGGTATAGGCAATACCCGACCGGGTACATGAGTATTTTTTCCAAATCGAAATCTTTCTTGTCTCCTTGCACTTTCCTTGATCTTTTAAGGTCCAATCTTGATCCCTTAGATGATCTTTGACCTGTTTAGCTCAGAAAAATCCTAATCTAACTAAATTACAAATAAAAAATGAAAATAAAGTATTACACCAAAAGTGTGTAATTTCCACAACTAGAACTAATAAAAACTAGTTAAAAATACAAACATACAATTGGAAATTACACGAATATCAATGCTGAAGTGAGAAAGTTATGGAAAGGATTGAAAACCTACAACGATGAGTAACTGTAAGAACTAACATGTTGACAACAAATTGAAGGCGGTGACCCCGTTTACCACATGAATCATGGCATTCTCCCTACAAGTTGGCTGTATCTCACCGCAAATCCAAGCCTATGGAGGAACGGGGACCCCCAAGATGATTTTTCACCTTGTTATGCTAATACTACGTATGATAATTGTTGGGGCGTCGATATAAATAATTTGTTGATGTTCTTTGGCTACGTTAGAAGGAACCGCGAGTGGGTGCTTGAGTTCTATTCCCCATATATGGCTGCATTGATGATTGGGAGGCTAAGCTTGAAAATGTATCCAATACCTTGCAGCAAGCAAAAGAGCAAAGAAGAACTACTCGTGCGCACATCCCGTTCGTGAAGTAATAGAAGAGCGAGGATCTGAAAGTTTTGATGGCGCGAAGGAGGGAAGAGTGTTTGATCGTGCATGAAGTGGCTGCCTAGCGTTTAGGCGTCGATTAATCAGACAAACTAGGCTGATTTTTAGAACCATGGCACTCCAAAGAAAGGCGCTTAAGTTTGCCTTGTCTCCGACCTTAAAAGTATTGTCGCTACCATGGAGTTGATAGTTATGAAGCGGGTGTGCATCACCCTAAAGCGAGAAATCAAGAAACTTATCCCAAGAAAGACATGAGGTTCATTTCATCTATAAAGGTATTCTGGGTGGAGACTCCATGTCCCTTCGAAAATTGGACTCACCAAAGAGGTGCATGTCCATACAGCTAAAGATGACACTCACATGGCTTCCACTCACCGTGCAACATAGATGGCTGAGCATACTGACACTCCAATTGTTGTATTATCTACTCCCTCCGTCCCAATTTGTTTTGCAAAGTCAACATTTTTTGGTCAACCAATAATAAAAGTCAATGCTCCGTATGGCTATTTAATTCAATTTTTAATAATTAAAATTTACATATTCATAAACTACATTAAAATCTCTTCAAAGTTGTAAACTCCAAATTAGAATATAATTAAAAATTGACATCCTAATTAAGTGAACAAAACGAAACTGTTTGACCAAGAAAAGTCAAATTTGCAAATCAATTTGGGACGGGGTAGTAGTATTTTACAATTTTCCGAACTTTAATATGATTTTTATTATAAATTTACGTAAACCGTTAAGTAAGTGTTAGGGGTGAAAAAGTGAAATTGAAAGATCCATTTTAACAAAGTTAAGATCGATGAAACTTGTAATTGATATTAATCAATAAAAAATAGTATTAGAACTTCATTTCTTGCTGAGAGTGAAGCAGGTCTACGAAATCCCATGACATCGAAGTGATATGAAAACGTAATATAACTGTAGAATTTAGTGCACACACAACCCTCTCGTGAAATTTAAATTTGATGCATTAGTCGTCTATGATTTAAAAAAATGTGTTAAACTCTCCCGTATTATAGTTATTCATGTGGTACCGGAGGTACCATTGATGAGACACCAGACATGTTATTATAGAGAGAAAGGAGAGCTAGAAGGAGAAAGTGAGAATGTATATGAATTAAAATGTGGGTTGGGATGCTAGGCTGGGCCTAACAGACCGTATAAAATCTAATCCATGGAGGGGTGTTCTGAAATGCCGACTGCTCATGTCCGAGGGCACAATGGCTGAGGGGTGCTACTGAAGGGTCGCCAAGGGGTCCGGTCGAGGGGTGCTGCCGAGGGGTTCCGTCGAGGGCATGATTCTGGGTTGCATGAGTATGTGGGCCAGGGGGTCCTAGACCATATACTCCATCACTCCTATATGAACAAATTTAATTACCAAATAAAAGGAAAATAATTGATATTTTGTACTTCGTATAGTTTCAAAATTTTGACAATGTTACTTACATATTCAATAATATAATTAAACAGATGATTTTCAAATTGTTAAATTTTTTGGAGGGGGTTTTGTACATGAATAAGTATATAACACAAGAGAGTTTGATACATTTATTAAATTACAAAAGTTAATGCAATGATTTTATAAATTTTTTACAGAGTAAACAAGTTTTGAAATTCCAAATATGACTAGTATGTTTTTATTCCTTAAATAAGAGTAATTTCTGTCAAGTTTGGCATTATGAAGTTTTAAACATGACAGTTTTTGCCAAGTTTTTTCCAAATTTGATAAAAATTACTTTTATTTAGGGAATTAAACATTAGATTTGGCACATTATTTAAGGAATAAAGTAGTAGAAATACTGAATAGTGTAGAAAAAGTAGGTGAATGTGTGTAAAAGTATAAAAGAGAAGACAAAAAGTAGATAAAACGGGGGTAGTTGAATATTTTATAAAGGGTAAACTTACCTAAAATGAAAGTGTAAGTAACTTTTAAATAGAGACCAAAAAACATGAAACAATACAGGTAAATTCCATCGTACAACCGGCTGTACCATGCGCACAGTACAATCGGCCTTTTAGTTCGCAAATCGCAGGTGTTGGGCATCCATCGGAGTTCACAGGTTTCCATGGGGTTCCATCGCAGTTCGCAAGCTTCCATCGCTGATCATTCTCGTTCTTCGCACGCCACCTATGTAGATGGCGATTCTCGACAGCCGCAACTTCCAGCACGAGTGCAGCACCGGCTTAAGCGGCTGCTCTTGCGGCGGCTCCTCCTGGTGTATAGCCCTACTTGCTTCTTCTCCCTTTTTCTTGCTCTGGACTCTTCCTTTTTCTCTTTTTCTTACCCAAGTGTGGTGAGCGAGTTTGGTGACTTGTTCGCCGCAGGTTAGGGAAATCTAGGTTGTACGTAATTCTTCAGATATGAGCATAACAAATGAAATTAAGAGTATAGTAGACATTTCAAATGAGTTTTTTGAATGCTCATTTCGTAATTTATGTATGCTCATTCATATATGTGCAATACTCATTTTAAAATGTCATATTCATGCATATTTCAAAATGAATTTTATGTTAAACTTAAATGAGTATAACGCCCAAAATGGATGAGCACACACAAATGAGTTTTTTTAATATTTTGATACTCATTTTGTAAGTTATGTATGCTCATTTAATTTGGTACTGTTTTATGCTCATTTTAAAAGGTTGCACATGTTAAACATATCATAATCCATTATGTTCACATATTGACATTAAATGAACTTGATTATAGACATAATTTAAGACTTTAATAAATGAAAAAATGATAAACCGAATGTGTTATATGAGGAATGAAGCAGATATCACTAATGCTCACCGTTACGCTCCTAATACTCAAAAGAACATGCTCGTCTGCTCAACTGGTTATATGTGACTCGGGCCTCCAAAATCTGGTGAAATTTTTATAGTATTTCAATTATTGTATTGAAAAATTAATTTCAATTAAGTAGTCTGTAGACTCTGTAGTTTTTGTAAATAAATAAATAATGTGTAATTGTCTTTACTGTTTGTGTCTTTATTTTTTTATAGCTTTCTGCCTTTCTAGACTTAGTTTCACACTTTCTACTGCTAGTTTAGACGTTTAGGAGTTAAGTAGTTTGCAGTAGTTTTTATTAGTTTAGTAGTACTACGTATTTAATAAAGGAATAAAGGGTCAGTTTGGTCCTCGAAGTTGCAAAAAAGGGGTCAAATAAGTCCTTATATAGAAGATTTTGTCCGGACGTGTCATTTGAGGCGGCTCCCGGTAGAATTTTTTGATGAAATTTTTTTAGCATCTTATTCATTAAGTCTAGTTTACTCATAACGGCACAGTTATCTTCAAGAATTCATTTGAATGTCTTCCCGATTGAATTTTTATCTGAAATTTGGTATGAGTAAACTAGACTTAATGAATAAGATGCTCAAAAAATTTAATCAAAAAATTCCACCGGGAGCCGCCTCAAATGACACGTCCGGACAGAATCTTCTATATAAATACTTATTTGACCCCCTTTTTGCAACTTCGAGGAGCAAACTGACCCTTATCTCCTTTAATAAAGTGCTAGTAAGTAGTGGGCTAGTGGGGACTAAGTAGTTGTCTAGGGGTTTGTGTTAATTATTATCTATAGTTCTATTTTTTTTATATAAATATGTTAATTGTCAAATATGTAGGTATTGTCATTTGTCATGACGTGTAAGCGAAAATTTGATTCCGGATATTAGAAGAGAAAGAATAAGTTGAGGAAAGATTTGATTGTTAAATCATTTTCCGGGTTTATGGATTGGTATATATAAAGACAATTTCTTCTTCCTCAAATGTTGTTGACAAAGACAATATGAACGTTGATGGTGAGAATGAGAATAGTGTTGAAATTGAGAATGCAAATATCATGTTAGCTAGTCTTGATTGTAGTGACGTCTTTACTAGTTTTGCACTTCAAAAGGCCAGGAGAATTGGGTATTAAAAAGTACACTTTTTTAGTACATTTTACGTATGTTACATTTAAAACTATACTGTTTTGAAATTCACAACATATGCTGTTTTTGCATTTGTTTTATTTTATATATCATTGTCTTTTATAATTGTAATGTATGTTTATTGAAGTTTTTGTGAAGCTTTTCGGCCTAGGGCCTCCAAAAGGCTGGAGCCGGCCCTGATGGCATTCACTTTTTATTCGTATATAACCTCTTCCACCATCTTTATCTGTTTCTAATTTAGGGTATCTAATTAAAACCGAACTGGATTTTGACATATTGAAGGATTTCACTCTCCATGTTTTTTCTGACCAAATATACGGACTTCTTTAGATTTTTGGATTGAAGTGTTTAGTGCTATTTTGATGATTGGTAAGACTTTTAAATTCCAAAGGTTCTTCCTTTGTGCTCATTTGTGTCTCTGAACATATGGTGTTGTGATATCATAGCTTAGCAGTTAGCACAGAATGGGGCTTTCTGTTTTACATTACTTATAATTTTTTTTTCTGGTTTTTTTCTCAACAACAAGGTGTTTTTATTCACTAGGAGCTCTTTAGACGGGAAAGCGGAGGAGATTTGTTTTTGCTTCAAATATTTCGGAGTAATAGATACTTCATCCGTCCCGCTAAGATTGTCCCATTTTACCTTTTCGGGAAGTCCCACTAAGATTGTCCCATACCAAATTTGGTAAAGTTTGTGTGGCTCTAAATCATTCTTACTTTATTCTTACTTTATCAATTTAATATCAACCACACAAACCCACTTTTCTTAATAATCGTGTCACCTTCTCTTGTCCCAATCTTAGTGGGACGGAGGTAGTAATACTTTTGCTATGTAACTAATGCTAAACAAAGGAAGAAAGAAAGAAAGAAAGAAAGACAGCCTCTTGGCCTTGCATTGAACTTGTTTTTGAGGTCATGGCTATGATTTTGTAGGAATGGAATCAAAGTTCTTTCGTTTCCTAAAGATAGTTGGAGTTGGTTTCAAAGCAAGAGCTGAAGCAGAGGGGCGTTTGCTATACTTAAAACTGGGTTACAGCCATGAGGTTGAGCTGACTGTTCCTCCGGCTGTTCGTGTGTTTTGCTTCAAACCAAACGTGATCTGCTGCACGGGGATCGACAAGCTAAGGACACATCAATTTGCTGCAGCCATCAGAAGCTGCAAACCACCAGAAGTGTACAAAGGGAAAGGGATAATGTACATTGATGAAGTGATTAAGAGGAAGCCGGGAAAGAAATCGAAATGAGTTCTTCAGGTTCTTCATTTATTTGTACCCACTTTTGTATTCATCCATCTACTGAAGATAATAAGGGTCTGTTTGCAACAGTTTCTGTTTTTAAAAAAGTGCTTTTTTTAATGAAATGAGGAGAAGTGATTAAATAAAAGTTGATAGTATTTGAGAAAAAATGATTTTGAAAAATAAAAAAGTGGGTAGTGTTTGGTAAAATAAGTGTTTTTTGTGTAATAGAAAAAGTAAAAACACTTTTGACGCGGAAGCCGAGAAAAATAAAAGTTGTATTGTTTGGGAAAATAAGTGCTTTTTTAAAACCAAAAACTCAGAAGTGTTTTTTTAAAAGCAGTTGCAAACAGACCTTAAGAGTGGGTGTCCTGGATTTCGTGATTTTTTTGCTTTCTTCTGGATATAAACTAGAATTCCACCCGTGTGATGCACGTAATAAAAAAAAAGAAATTGTTATTCTCATTTTGAGAAGATAATATATATACATTGTTAGGGTCAATGTTTAAAAGTAATGAACTAAAGAACAGATAAATAATATAGACAAATACTCCGTAGTAAACAGAGTTAAATGTTATGCAAACATATTATTTGTGATATAAAGTAAAAAATGGCATGGGTGATCCTTAAAACATCTAGTGAAAGGGTGATGTCTTTCACGTACATTAATTTTATAAGTTTATTATACATTTTTTTTAAAGTTAGAAAATGTTGGTACAGTAGCAACACTATTTACTTTATTGAAGTGTATTGTATCTACTTTTGAGGTCTATTTCTTTCCAAAAACGGAAATGTGCTACATATTTTGATACAACCAAAAAAGGAATGTGACACACATTATGATACACCGGGAGTACATAGTATGCTCTAGTCTCAAAGAGCCTAACCAGACTTTATGATGAGCTGGACCCTCTTTTAAAAGAAATACATCGTGTAAAATTGGGAAAATGTACAAATATACCCCTGTATTATGTGTGAGAGAACATATATAGTCATGTTCTATTTTCCAGAGCAAATATATCCTTGAAGTATGTGTGGAAGTGCATATATACCCCTGAACTTTTAAAAGGAGCAAAAATACCCCTCATGTTCTTATAAAGGAGCAAATTTACCCTTATTGACTTTAAATTGATATAATAAATTTCAAAAAACATCAAAAATAAATTATAAATTTGAAATTTAAAAATAACTTTTTGTAAAAAATATACTTGTTTCTACTCCTTTTATTTTTTTTATATCAAAATTAAATATTCTTAGTATAAAATATGAATTCAAAACTTTACTATATAATTTAAATTCTTTCAAAAAAGTGTTAACATATGTGTTCCAATGTAAAAAAATATATATTAATTCTTTGCATTAATTCTTTGTTAAAATATATTAATTCTTTCCATTTGGTCTTTCAGAACAGCATATCATTACAGAACTTATACAAATCCCTCCTGTGAATTCGACTTACCAGTTCCCTAGAAATACTCCTTTCCCTGGTAAAAGTTGTAGGAGTACAATATTTTTTTGAGAGTAGGAGTACAATATTAATTAGAAACCGATGCTGTCTTTCATTGATGAGCAAATCACTCTATGAGTCTATGGGTTTCCCTTATGGCCGCCACAAAAGTTCCAATATCATCCCTAACTACTATGTATGCCCAGTCCGAGATATCTGCATGAGAGAGCAGCATAAGCGTTAATTAGAAACAATAAGAAACAATAACAATAAGTACAATTATTACTCCATATAAACTTATTCATTGAATGCTTGGAATACATCTTCATTTCTGAAACTACACATGCTTTCACAAGTGAAGCATTATGTAATCTAGCTACTACCTTCTACTCTATTTACAAAGTAAATATTATTCTGATCTAGCTTAGTAGTTCACAAATATCTGGTTCCCTTTGCTATTCATTCGTCTCTTTCATGTATTAGTGATCTCCTTATGGCTTTATGTTTGTACGATTTAAATCCCTTGAACACTATTTCTAAAAGAGAAATTATTACGAAATCAATGACTCCACACCAACTTAAGTACCAAAAGTAAAATAATTTTATACTACCCCAAAATTGATGCTCCATGCTTTTTACTAACAGAAAAGGATACCCTAAGCAATACTCTATAAGTCCGTATATCTTTTCCTTGGAAATTCTGCCAAAATATATACCTAAAGAACACACACGCGACAACAAACAATACAAATATTCTACACCCGGAAGAATATTTGGCAACAGTTAATCAAAACAATGACCACAAACAGCTTTCAAAAGAAGAAGACAGAGAATCTGAAACAAACAAAGTAGAACAAATCTGATTGTGTGAATCCAGTTTTAACAAAAACCAACAAAATGTTGATGGTCTTCCTAAGTGGTTCAATTCCAAAGCCCTGCTGCATCCCTCCCCATCTTTATTAGCAGAAAACTCATGCACGGGGTTTATCTGCGTTGGGTCATCTAGATTTTTAACAACTTTTTTTAAAAGATCTCACATTTGGATGATATTAGTTTTTCAAACAGACCTTTTGTGCTACTTTAATTATATAATAAGAAAACCTTTTATTTTTTTGAATAACTAATTGTTATACAGAGTACAAGGATGTGTTTTGTAAGGATGTATTTTGTAATACAGGTATACATTAATAAAATTATAGTTGTACGATTGTACATAGTCCAAAAGTAATCTGGTTGTAAGATGATACCGTACCAGTAGCCCAAACTTGAAGAAATCCTGTCCATCTCCTTCTTCTTCTTGAAGCGTTGAAGCGGCGGAGCCAGATCCTAGAGATATATAGAGATTAGAGACTGCCAGTCCTCCACCAACGCCTTGCCGGGACAAAGGTTGACCGGGGGTGTGTGGCCCTCCATTGATGTCGCTTGGTCCAAGCCAACTCGCTGCCTAGAGTCCAGAAACACAGCTGAAATTGTTGCCCTTCAAGGGTCTTGGGTTGGATTGCTCTGCCGATTGTAGAAGAAATCGGGCATATCCGGCTTCTTCAGCTGCCGTGTAAAGCAGTGTTTGCATTTGCTTTTTTTAAGCACTTTGGAGCTTTTAGCTTTGGAAAAGTTAAAAATGGTGTTTGCAAACCTCAGATTCTGTTTTTTTTAAGTGCTTTTAAGCCAAAATCTAAAAGCTACCCAAGTGATGCTTTTTAGTGCTTTTAGGTAATATTGTAAATAACTCCAACTTTAGATATAATGTTATACCCAATTAAACCCAAAATACCATTCATCTCTCCCCAGCAATCCTACGTAGGTCTCTGCAATTCATCTTTCCCTTCCCTTCATCTTTCCCTTCCCCACACACATACACATAAATATTATATATATATATATATATATATATATATATATATATATATTCCATGGGAAGAAATCTAGATCCATGGAGCTCACTCATTCCAAAGACGTCAAGAAGTCGGCTCACCACCGAGACGGCGACGGCGACGACGGTGGTGACGGAGAAGGTGACGTCCAAGAGCTGCGGTGCGGCTGCTGCGGCGATCTCCAAGGTTGTGGCCGGTTGATTCTGCGGATTGCTTTTGTTGAGAGGAACTCCGGCGAATAACCATGGATTAGAGCCGATTGAAGTTCTTCTAGTCTAGAGTATCCATGAATAGCCATTGATTCTGCGGATTCCTTTTCTTCTGCTCCGATGCGGCACTCAGGGGCGGATGCACAGCTACACTATGGGGGGCAGCTGCCCCCAATAAACTCCCAATAATCTTCTATATTATATTACGAAAATGTTTAGTACATAGAATTGCCCCCAATAAAAGAAATGCAAATGCCCCCACCCAATTCCACTTTGCCCAAAACAAAATAATATGCTCCGTATACTTGAGCCTAATGCCCCCTAAATTGATACTCCGTACTCCGTATACTTCAAGTTTGGTAAACAAGTGTATTGTAGAGCATGAGTATTAAGTATTAACTACTCCGTATTTGAGTAATTTGACTATTGAAGTATTGAGTATTGATTATTGTATTATTAGTATGTGTTAGAGTGTTATGGCGTATTTGTGTTGAATTGTTAAAATATAAAATTTAAAATTTGCAACAACTTATAAATTGTACGGAGTATTACAATTTAAGAATTACGAAAGTCATAAAATATTATGTAGTACATATAATTTTTGCATAGCTATCACTCTTGGAGAAGGTTTTAAGATACATAAAGAGACAAATTAAGAAAGCTATATAAAATTTAGAGCCGTTTGGTGAACCTATTTTTGGTCTTATCAGTCTTATCATCGAACTTTTTTAATGAACATGTAACTATTGATTTCGTGCGCTGAATGGTGTAATAATCAAATTAAGTAAGGTTGAGCGTACTTTATTTGCTAGATTGACTAAAGTTATTGTAGCGACCATTTTAGTTATTATTTATTTAAATTTTTCTTCATTTTATTAATAAAATACTCGTAATTTTAATTTTTTTCATAAATTTGCAAATCAAGTCACTTCAGCGAGAACTTCATAAATTTTAGTAGAGTCATCCAATTCAGTTAATTTAAGTGCTATCAAACGAGCTCATAATTTTTACATGCATACTGATATTCATGTAATTTCCAATTGTATATTTGTATTTTTAACTAGTTTTTATTAGTTCTAGTTGTGAAAATTACACACTTTTGGTGTAATACTTTATTTTCATTTTTTATTTGTAATTTAGTTAGATTAGGATTTTTCTGAGCTAAACAGGTCAAAGATCATCTAAGGGATCAAGATTGGACCTTAAAAGATCAAGGAAAGTGCAAGGAGACAAGAAAGATTTCGATTTGGAAAAAATACTCATGTACCCGGTCGGGTATTGCCTATACCCGATCGGGTAATTGCTTGATTCGACTGTCCAAATCAAATCCAAAGACAAACGATCGTGAGAGCAAATTTTCATAAAGATTTGTCACATACCCGATCGGGTATATACCCTTACCCGATCGGGTATGCCCAGAAAAATCACTTTCTGGGCAATTTCCTGAGATACCCGGTCGGGTATCCTATATACCCGGTCGGGTATCAGACCCTGCAGCTCCCAAAAGCCTATAAATACACCCCTTTCCTTCACAATAAAATCACCAATTCACATATACTCTTTAGCTCAGTTTAGATTAGTGTTTTCTTTATATTTTCTATCATGTTTAGTCTCCAAATGAGGAGCTAAACTCTTCCATCTTGGTTTTGCTACTTTGAAGCTTAATGAATTTGTAAGTTGTGAGTTATTTTCTTTAATCTTCTTCCTTGAATATTAATTCTCCCTTTAAATACTATTTCTATATCAATGTTGGGGAGTGTTACTAAGATGACAATTAGTTAACATCTTGACATTAGTTATAGTAATAGCTATTTCTTCCTCTATGTTAATATTGGGGAGTGTTACTAAAATGACAATTAGTTAACATCTTGATATTAACTATAGTAGGATTCATCTTCTTTAATATTCTTCCTTGAGTATTAATTAATTCCTATTCATATTTCATATTAATATTTTGAACATTACTTAAAGGATCAACTAGTTTTGTCTCATATATTAATTATTACTAGAATCGGTCGGTTAATACGCTTGTTATTAATTCGGTCCTTTCACGGTAGTAAACTTGGGTTGTTAATGCATGCTTCTCATGGTTAATAAGCCAAGGGGAATTAATTATATTGATTAAACCAATAAACCGCTTGTGTTGAGGTTATCAATCTCAATCGTTTTCATCTTGATTTTATTGCTACTATCAAGTTAATATACGGCGCTTGTTCTATATTGACTCGGTAGTAAGTTTTATTAATGAACGCGTCTCGTTATTAATAACTACCCTCGATGAACTGGATATACTCCTCGATTGAGTATTCGAGAGGAAGATAGTTAAAGATATAACCGGGATCGACGAACATTTCATTAAGTGGATAAAAGCAAAGCCAAGTCTTCTTCTCATTAATTAAACCACATAACTTGTTCATCTTCGTGTTTAATTTATTAAACCAAATCAAACTAAAACCCCCCATCTTGTTACTAGTTCTATAAAAAGAAAAGTATTCCTTTCCCTGTGGATACGAACCTTACTACGCTATACTACGTATAAGTGTTGTATTGTATTATTATTTTGAGTGCACATCACGACAAAGTGCACGTCACATACCACTCTAGGAGAAGGTTTAATTAAGATGTATAAAGGCAAAAAAGTACATTAGTTATCAAAGAATTAATTACAATTTATAGGGTTTTTACATATTGTCAATGTACTTTATTTAGTTATGATATTTGGGTGTATTTTGTTACAAATTTTTTCTATTCGAGTATATTTGGTTGTGGTTTTTCATGCACGTCATTTTTGTTCTGCCCCCAATAGTTCCGTTTCCTGGATCCGCCACTGGCGGCACTACTGGTTATTGCAGGGAAGGAGTGATCGATGAGGGAAAGGGACAGTCTGCCAACACTAAAATATTAAAGGAAAAGGGCAGTTTTGTACTTTACAAAAAAACTACATCAAAAATCACTTTTTTTATCAAACACTCCAACTTTTACATTTTAACTAAAATCACTTCTATTTCCAAACACTACCTACTTTTACTACAAATCACTTTTCCAATAATCTCTTAAAAAAATCACTTTTAAAAAGCACAAGCAATCGCAAACACTCCCTAAATATACGAAGTATAAGCTATAGTGAGTACGGAGTCAATAAGGGTGTTAGAATGGACAACACCCTGACAACTCATTAAAATCATCTTGACTCGTCTTTCGGCAGACCCAAGATTTTTTAACATCCAAAGGATCAAAGCAATACCTGTGATTGTGATGTTTTTGGGCGGGAAATTCACCAAATTTTCCACTTGGTTTTCTACATAGATAGATTGTCATTCTACTCTCTTATGTAGCACGGAAATTCTCGGGAAAGTGTACGTTTCCCGTTTCGAAAACACCCTGAAACTCTTTGGAAACTTTTCAAATAAGCATCAAAAGTTGACCTTTCCGGTTTCATGTTTCCTCGTGATTTTCGCGTTTCCGTGCAACATAGGTACTCTCTTTTACATCATGATGTCAGGTTTGTTTTAAAAGGAACTAGTTCATTCCCTGTTTGTGTTCAATCAATTAGAATCTGATATGAAAAATAAGTTAATTGACCAAGAGCTTAGAAAGGAAAGCCAACTAAAAGTTGGGATGTTGAGAGTTCTGCAGCTGTATATATGGGCAGATGATGTTTATACTCATCAAAAGGTCACACACATTCGATTAAGAGGTCAAATGATGCCAACAATACATACAATGTAATGGAATACAATGCTATACTAATTGACTCAATTCTTCTGCAACATAAATTGCTTCAAGTATAAATGTGCACATTCATGAACTAAAAGTGCACCTTTTCACATGTTTCTCATTTCATGCAAGAATTATCATTATTACCTAAATGACACCCTATACACACACATACATTGAATTTGTTAATTATTAAACAAAGAAAATGGGTTGATCATACTTTTTATCTGTCTTCTTTACAGTTAAACATATTTAGCAACTTCGTAATTATATGACCTACAATTTCAGCTGAGTTCTCCCTTACTGAACGAGCTGTATAAATGATGGTGTTATTTTGATGTTCTTTATTGGTAAATGAAGTTTCTTTTCCCCCTTGAAGCTTAGGGGTTTTATCTTTGATCTCTCTTAGTTCCTTGTACTTGGTAAAAAGTCTAACTGATTCTTAAAAACAACTTTGTGATGTGTGAAAGTTCGCAACTTGACCAGTCTAGTTCTCATCTAGACATCTCGCTAACATTGTATTTCTAATATGCTCCACCTTATCATGTGTTTGGTTTTGCAGTGATGCTAGATTGCTTGGTCCCAAACTCCCAATCCATGGTTTGTCTATATCTTTAAAGATCACTGCTTAAGGCCGGTAGGCAACATGCCATTAGTCAATTAGTGCAACTTATTTACCATTTTTGCGTGGGTGTATAACCTCTCATTATTTAACGACTTCAATGGAGCATATACGAACCAGGTTGTGTTTATATTACCATTTCAGTTTATTTTGAGCTGAAATTTCATAAATTGAAACAATTAGTTCATGTAGCTCTGTTTGGATGAATATTTGAACTTGACTACTACTTAAGAAGATGATCTGAAGCATCTTTCCCTTTTATCATTTCAGTCCAACCTTTTAACTTGACATAACATGTCAATTCATTTTCAGTTTTGACATAAATTTGACATAACATGTTATTTTCACTTTTAATTTGACATAACTTGTTAGGGAGTGTTTGCAACAGCTTCTGCTTAAAAAAAAGCACTTTTGGAGATGAAATGAAAAAGTGATTAATTGTAAAAGTTGATAGTGTTTGAGAAAAAAGTGATTTTGAAAAGTAAAAGTTGGTTGTGTTTGGTAAAATAAGTGCTTTTGGTGTATAAAAAGGGGAAAAGCACTTTTGACACGAAAGCCGAGAAAACTAAAAAATTGGTAGTGTTTGGTAAATAAGTGCTTTTTTAAGCCAAAAGCTGAGAAGTGCTTTTTTTAAAGTTGTTGCAAACCAACCTTTACTTTGACACCGCAATTCACTCCGGTTTATTTTCAGCTATGTTTGAAAGCTGAGGCATAAAAAAACTACTTTTCAATATTATTTGGATTTGTAACTTTTTAAGTTTGAAATTTAACCAAGATTGAAGATGATACTCCGTAAGATAACGAGGTTTGGAATTGCACATGCCCTCTGTTTGGGTCTTGCACCATGGCTTGCAGCAGAAATTCCAGTTCTTGTTGATTCTGACATGGTTAAGCATAAAGATGATGCTTCTTCATCCTCTAAATCATAATGAGAATCCCATCTCTTTACAGTTCTATCCTGATGATATCCATACAAGTTTTATGTTGTAATTTTAATTTATTAATTTATTAATAAAAAATAAGGCTAAAGGGTCAAATAGGATCTTGAACCAACTTAAAGTGTTCAATTAGCCCCTTATATAGGAGGTTCTGCCCGGCCGTCGTCAATTGAGGCGGTTCCCGGTGGAATTTTTTGATGAAATTTTTTGAGCATCTTCTTCATTAACTCTAGTTTATCCATACCAAATTTCAGCTAAAAATTCAACCGGGAAGGCAATCAAATGATTTTTCGGAAAATCACTTGACTGTCTTCCCGATTTAATTTTTAGCTGAAATTTGATATGGGTAAACTAGACTTAATGAAGAAGATGCTCAAAAAAATTCATCAAAAAATTACACCAGAAACCTCTCCAATTAGCGATGGTCGGACTGAACCTCTTACATAAGGGGCTAATTGAACACTTTAAGTTAGTTCAAGGGCGATCCTTTAGCCCAAGAAATAAACTAAATTCTCGCGTACGTTCAAGACGCCTAATACCAAAACTTATAAACCATACCTTTTTTAATTATGGAGAGTAAAAGTATCATGATAACAACAGTGAATATTTTATAAAAAAGATAAGATATGTATTAGAAATTTTAGCATTACTAGTGACAAATTATAACGACAAATAAAATATCACTTCGATTTTGTCAAAATAAAAGGATGTACCTTCGTTTTATGAAGTAAAATTGACACGTTATTTGAAAATTTTCTGCTCTTTATATCTTTGTAATTTTCGCCCAGAAAACTTAGGGGTCAATAAATCAAGGGAAAAAGTGCAAATAGGCCCATGTACTAACCAAAAAAGGTCAAATAAGCCCTTATTTAGGAAGTTCTGTCCGGCCGTCGTCATTTGGGGTGGTTCCCGGTGGAATATTTTGATGAAATTGTTTGAGCATCTTATTCATCAAGTCTAGTTTACTCATACCAAATTTCAGCAAAAACTTCAATCGGGAAGGCATTCAAATGAATTCTTGAAAATAACTGCGCAGTTAGAAGCGTTGTTATCTTCAAGAATTCATTTGAATGCTTTCCTGAGTGAAGTTTTAGCTGAAATTTGGTATGAGCAATATGGATTTATGAATTCAGGACCTGAAAAATAGATGAATTATAAATACGGGACCCGGACGATTTATCAATTCAGGATTTGAAAGATAGATGAATTATCAATACGAGACCCGAACGATGAAATGTATCGGTATAGGATCTGAATGATGAAAAACTATCAATCTAGAACCTAACCATTCATAGATTTGATGAATTATCAATACGAGACCCGAAAAGCAACAATTGGCACGTACAAAAACGTAAAGAAGGTAGAGAGAAGTAATACGGGACCCGAAAGATGGATTTTATCAATTCAGGACCTGGAAGACAGATGAACCCGAACGATGAAATGTATCGGTACAGGATCTGAATGATGAAAAATTATCAATCTAGAACCTAATCATTCATAGGGTTTGATTTATTTGACTTTTTTTTATTAAATTTCATTTCCATTTTCATTTACCCCAGTGCCGCAAAGGCTTCCACCTACGGTGGGATAAGGGGGGTCGGATGTACGCAGTCTTACCCCTGTACTAAATCATAGAGAGACTGTTTCCGGATGACCCATGGTGAAAATCGCGTCCAAAATTGCATGGATTGACTGCTGCTTCATAACAAAGAAGTGCAGACAGTTTAGTGAACCATTTTGCTTTATTCCATCATATTCTCAAGCCAAAAAATAATGAAACTTTGGCTCCATTGCAAATGAATGAAATTTTTTTTATTAAATCCTTTGAAAATTTTTGATAAACTTTTCTTCACAAAATTTTATTAGTTAATAAAAGAATATTATTTAAAATTTCTAAAAATAAAATCATGATAACCTGGGTTCTAGATTTATAGTTTTCAATCATTGGGGTCATAAATTGATAGTTTTCCATCATTCGAATCCTATATGGATACATTTTATCTTTCACGTTAGAGATTGATAATTCATCTATTTTTGAGTCCTATTATCAATAAAAAATACGGTTATAATAGTTTTAGTTACATTTTATCCAAAACCTTTTTTATATTAAAATTTTAGGAAAAATAGCTTTAGTTACATTTTCTCCATAACTTTTTTAATATTAATATTATTATTCACCACATACATAAACCTATCCCTCTAGCTTGTAGCTCACACCAAACACCGCACCAGCCCCAACATATAAAGAGCAAAGGAAAAATATTCATAATAATATAGTCAAATGAACCGTTTCTTCAAAAAAAATGAACATGGAATTTCCAAATACTGTACTCCGTACTCCGTAGACCGTAATACTCGTACTTCTGATTGTAGGATTTTACGTTTGCTTTTAGTATTATGTTTATCGAGTTTTGTTGAAGTTTGTGATTTACTCCGTATATTTATTGACTCAAATATTTCTCGACTTTATATGATTAGTGATGGACCCGGGCTGGGTTGGGCCCAGGTCAGGCCTAGGCCTGACGGGCTTTTGGGGTTTAAGGTGTAGGCCCGGAACCGGCCCGGGTATCCACCGGGTCCGGTTTGGGCCGGGCCTCGGGCCTGGTTATATATATATTTTTTTTGCTTTCCTAACTAACCCCTGACCCCCCCCCCCCCAATCCCCCACCCCCCCCCCCCCTCCAAAACACCCAGCCCAACCCGGGGGAACCAAAAATTGAAAAAAAAAAAAAAATGGCCCGAACCAGGCCCGGCCGGGCCGGGTCACCTTTTCTTCAGCCCGAGCCCGCCCCGCTAAACCCTACGGTCTGGGTCAAAAGACGGTTTGTGACCCGAAGCACCGGGCAGGGCCGGGCCCGCACAGTAGCGGGCCGGGCCGGTTCCTGGGCCGATTTTCACCGGCCCGAACCGGGTCCATCACTATATATGATACTCCCTTTGTAGCTTTTAATGTTCTTTTTATATCATTAAATTTATATTGGCTTTTGCTACGTACTAATATATTTTATAATGTGCACTGTCTTAAGATTGGTTGAGTTTTTGAAGTTCACAAATATTTTTTATACAAATTTGTAACACAAATTTTTACTCTGTTCGAAAAATTTTATTTGTGACAAATTAGTAAACATAGCTAATTTTATTAGGATTGTGCTGTAAAAAAACAAGTAGTGTTTAAAATAAATGTGGATAAGTGATGGATTATACAATGAGCATTATAAAGTTTGTAAGTCGAGAATAGCAAAGTGCAAATTACGTATCTAATAAATTATTATATTTTTAATGAATATAATAAAATCTGTAAGCCAAGAATAGCAAAGTGTAAATTACTTTTTCTAATAAAATTATTATATTTCTAATGAATAAATACATTGATATTTTAGTGACCTCATATAATTATATTAAGTGTGTTTTTATAATGAATGTATTGTTACATATATGAGTTTGTTGTTATACTTAATTAACGTTTAATAGAAACATAATGAACATTGGTATGACATTATAAAAGTAATGAATGTAGTTAAATGAATTAGTTGGTTTACAATTAACATATTAAGAAAATGATTTATAGAAATGAGTTTTGTGTTATACTTAAATTAATATAATGTTTAAAAGAAATGAGTATTAGTATGATACTAAAATGCATGTGCATAACAAAGATTTCAAATTAGAATACGGTAATTATGAGTATTGCTTAAAATAAAAGTGCATTGCTATAAGCCTATAACATTAGTAATAAAGTTTAAAAAAAAAATGATATATGTATATATACATCATTTTAGAATAAGATTATTATGTTCTCATTAGAAAAACTACTTATATAATTTAGTGATTGATGTGTATGAATTGAATTGGTGATGTGTTTTATTGTATACCCAATCTTTAACAAGCAAGTCATTCAACACTATAAAACCCCAAGAACGTAGATCCAATTAAAGTCATTAATTAAATCGATCTAGTACTGCTTTTATTGATCATTATGACAAAAAATATTGTTTTGATAAGACCATGGTAAGGACCAAGGATCAATTAACATCATCCTTTCTTTTCTCTTCTTTTAAATATGTATGTATGAATGTGCCTACTCCAATATAAGGAGGGGGGCCTAAATACCGAAATGTACAATTTTAGTATAATCTTGGACGGTTATTGTTATGATTCCTGTAATTTTATTATCTAAAATCATAAAATTTGGTTGTGTAACTAATAAAGAAAAACTAATAAAGAATTATAATTCAAAAACTTTTTTACCGGAAGCTACAGTTTTCAGGAGAAACTTTGACGCT